CTGCCTGGTGTTCATTGTGATGGCAAAGGGAAGGGTTTGTTCATGTCTGTCCGAAAAAGGTTACCCTCAAATTCAATGGTTGATTCATGATTCATGATGTATCATCATTTTCCCTCATTACAATGCTTATTCTGAGGTATAACCGTATGCCCCATTTTCAAACCCAGATGGCTCTGGCTCAAACGGATGTGAAACGCAAAAGGCAAAACTGCCAGTTTTTCGGGTGTTGAATACAGGAGCTTTGGATGGTACAACTAGAAATATCTGTTTCTGGAGGTGTCACAATGATGACCCCCAGACAATCGGAAACCAACTGGCTAATACTTCACTTGTAACATGAGGAACCCCCTATTGGTTGATGAATATAGAGGGTTATCATCTGGCTGGTGGTTTTTCGCCCTACCCATCTGAAAAATGATGGAGTTAAAGTCAGTTGGGATGATGACATTCCCAATATATGGAAAAATAATCAAAATGTTCCAAACCACCAACCAGTTAAGTTAGTTTATGATCCATATAGATATATCCCATTCTATCCCATTCATATATATATATAATATCCCATTATTAACCATTACTAACAATATATGTATGTATATTCATATATCACTTATCAATATATTACTTGTCATAATCAACTATGGCCACTCTGGGAATCACCAAAAAAAACCGCGGTAACCGCGGTAACCCCCACGAGCGACGAGCGACGGATGCGCATATGGCAGCGGTCGGGCAAATCCCAGATGCCCAGCCTGACCGCCAGGGACGACGACGAGAAAAAATGCAGCGAAGTTCGGATCGTCGGCCCTGAATAGCATGAAAACAGCAGTCTCCTTTCAGGAGGAGATTGACAGCAATAAGATAAGCTCAATTTTACAGTGGAAAAACTCTGGAAGAGAGACTGACAGCGACATAGTGTATACCGTGTGGCCCCATCCTTGGCAAAAACATCCACCAAATCAGGGTTTGCAGAGTTCATTCTCTATCATTGCCCCAAGAAAGGTGACGAAACACCAAAGACCAGTTGGAAGACCAGTTTTTAAATCTTCATACTTGTTGCCCTGTGGTAATTTGTTACATAGCTATTGATTATTGAACATGGTCCATTGAAATAGTTGATATTCCTATTAAAATGGTGATGTTCCAGTTCGCAAACTGTGCATGTTGCGAAATCCTGCACCAGGCAATAGGCATAGGTGGTTTATCCCGAAATTTGTCATAGGTTTTCTACCATCCCAGGTGGTGCAGGATCAACCCGGAAGCCTCACTGGAGCCCTGCAACGAGCTCGCTCTGAAGGGCGCGGCGTCGGGCAGTGGATCGCTAGTCCTGGAACTGGAACGGGGCTCCCACGGCCATGCAACCCATCCCTAGGTTTGCCATAGATGGTGGTAGCATCCCCAACAAGTTGATGGAAATTGGATCTAGCAGAAAAAAACCATGTGATCTTTCGGGTCACTGCAAATTGAAGCATCCGGCAGAAACATGACACCGGCTATCACGATCTCTTTGAACTTCGGAACGGAATGTCTTGGAAGTCTTGGAAACTTGGAAAGTTTTGGATCTTGCGGAACGACTCAATTCGGAAACTTGATGACGGACACGGTGGTTCTTACTTAGTGCTTGTGGTGTTCTTCGCTTAGTCCGATGTTTGCTGTTTGATTCATGAACCTACCAATTCAAAGCTAACAATAGAAACATAGATACCCTGCAAAAGCCAGATGTTTCACTGTTTAGGCGTTTTTCTTACATATCCCCGTAGATGAACAACACAAACAGATCACACCAAACACCACTCAACCGTCGACCCATACGAAGTGGATAGCATGTACATAACATATCATAACATTACATACCTGTTACACACCTGTTACATAAGATGTTGGAAGCAGTGTGTACAAGTGTACATTCATCAATCCCCGTGGATCCTTCGATCAAAAGCAGATCTTTCAACTCATCCAAATCAAAGGGCTGCAAATTAAAGGTATCAAAATAATATGCTTGCCAAATTCCACACAATTCGGTCAAACAAATCATCGCGATTAGCTGGCCGAAGTCTCAGGTACATCCGTTGAAGCACCTGTGAATTAAGCTACGCCTCGATCCTTTTTGGGAATCAGTTCAAGCCATAAAGTTTGGTGGGATGTCCACGACAGAAATTTTCAATGGTGCTTCAAGTAGTGAAGCTGTTCTAGATGGTGATTCTCATATCTAAAACCAGTGGAGTGAACCAGCGCCCCATCTACAGGGATTTACAGGGTAGATTCTCATAGCCTGAAATAAGGCTAATATTGGGATATGTTCCCTTACTAACGATCATTATAGTGAGGTGTGAGTGAGGTCGTTAGATCCAGCAGCTTCGTAGGAAGTGTTTGGGGGCTTGGCCGACCATCTACAATGGATAAACCATTGGTTATAGATTATTCTATAGCTGTCTATAGCTGATAAATCATCATACTGTAAATCACCTATAGCTTAGTATCAGGGTTGGCCTATTTAAGTGTGGGTACTTTTGGGGTATAGAGTCTATAATGGGTTTTGCAGAATCTATACGGGATCTATATTGGAAATTTGGGAGAATATATAGGGCATTTTGGGTTCTTACATGTGGTCCTCCGACTTGCAAACAGAAGGCAAGCGTGCAACCTCTGTGTGTGTGAAGGGTGGGCCCCACAAATCAAAAGGAAACAGAACACATGACAAATTGGGTGGCAAATGCCAAAGCGGCTGAAAAGTGCTGATGGGCCTCAGGCTAACAGCAAGACAACTCCCTGTCAGCGATGTCAATCTATTTATTCTTCTCGCGTGGGAATCTGCAGGTTCCCTGCACATCTCCTGCAATGCCCTCATGGCTCAGCAGGTCTGTTGCCAAGATCTAAGATCCGGGGCGCAAGGGCCAAGCAACCCTTAAAGCTCTTGAAACACACAATGCCTGCTGCCTACCGAAAGTGTTCATTGGCCGCTCACTGCCATACCCCATGTGGCTGCTACCGCAAGCGCTCACTCTGCAGCTCCGCCTTGTCAGCACTTTTGCGATATGGAATGATACGGCGACACATTAAATTGTGATGTCTTGCTTATGAATGATTTGCTGTGCATACGTCGCTTAAGACAGCGGTTTGGTTGATGTGATATGGCGGTTTGCTAAAGACTTATGACTGTTGTTTGTTGCTTTGTTATGTTACTTGACATCTAAGCTAATGCCCTAAGCCACAAATCCTACATGTTTCAAGTAGGTATGAACTGCAAGTTTGAAGCTTTAAGTAGTAACATGTTTTGAATTGGTGAGCTGAAAGTTTGAGAGTTGCAAGGCTTCATGTTTGACTTTACTGGTAGCTATGAACGTTAAAGCGTTAAACTGTTTGATTTGCATTTATGTCAGATGTATGCTGCGTGTTACAACATGTCTTTGCAATATTTTAGAAACGATGTTGGAAAAAAAGCTTTGAAATGGACCGAAAGAGGATGTCGCGGAAACGGTCACGACGGTTTGCGACTATACCGCCGCCTGGGTTCCCAAGGATAGCTTGAAACGGTCACGACGGTTTCCACAGATTTTAATCTGGGCATTTCCTAGAGACGGTTTTAAACGGTTTCAGACGGTTTCAAACTATAGTGTTTTTGCGGCGTTTTTTGCTGCACATAGGAGAAACGGTCACGACGGTTTCCAGCACATGGCGGCCAGGGATGAACCCATTGAGCGGAAACGGTCACGACGGTTCTGACACTGTCCTGTCTTAACTCCAGATTAAAGAAAAAGATATCAAAAATCAAAACGCAACAAACATGATAAACAGATACGACCAGATAGATCGTAACGTGCAAGATTTTAAGTGACGTAGTCCCAAACATATGAAGGCCACACAAAAAACCATCACCTAATCCAACTTGCAATCACGACGTATCATCATCTATCATCTCTCATCATCTATTATCATCACCCGCGGTGCTCAAAAGTTCATCGCTGGATATGCCCTCTACTGTCTGCAGTCCACAAAAGTGACAGCTGTGATCTAGTCACCAGGTCTTGTAACTTTCAATCAAACCCCGGGCTTTGAGTCACCAAAAAGAGACCTTAGTAATGGTCGCCCAAGTGATATCTAGGACCGCCTCCTCTCTCCGGTCAATGTCACGATGAACTCACAGTCAACGTTCTTGGCGTATGGCGTCAAATCTCCTCCGGACATGCCCAAAAATCAGACCATGGGCCAGGGGCCGGGACACAGCACCCAACAATTCAATCCACCAACCCACTGAAAACCCGGCCTTCCGTTCCCTCATCGTTGCTCTTGTTGCTGGGCCTGCACTCCTGCAAGGGAAATGGAGGCCCACCTACCACTCCAGCTCATGGGTTTTGCCAACAAAAAGTTAAGCACATTTCCTTGTCCAGAAACCGTCTCTGACTGTAGAAACCGTCTCTGAAGCTATTTTGGGGCTCCAAATGGCCAGAAACTATATTAAAAATCTGAGAAATTATATTGAAAATCACAGAAACTGTTTGGGCGACATTTCTTTTCGATTTCCATCTGAATCTCCATGCAGGTTCTCAATTCACGGAAACCAGCGATCTAGAAAAACAACGTTCATTCGAATCGGCAATGTACCGAAACACTCACACTGGATCTTGACATCAAGTTTGCAGCTGCACTTGGCTGTTTCTTGTGCACAAAGGACAAGACTAGGCTCTGAATGAGAAGAACTGCTGACCCTGAATGAGAAGCAATACGTTGTTGTTTGTTGTTCGTATTGTTGGGCTGGATTGAAAAAATGAAAACTAGAGACGTCAGCTTATGTACTCAAAGTGCTGAAAAACACACGCGGAATGGTGCAGAATAATGAGGAGTGATGCTATATGCAGTTTGCAGTGTACGATGCGCATGTCATATGTGCCATGACTGTTTACATCTTCAATCGCAATCCGATGTCGCTGTATCTTTGTTCTTATGATCTAATAAATGAAAGTGAATCTACTCACGCACTACCTCTGCTACCCCTCCAAACC